TAAAACTAATCCAGGTTTCTCAAATTAAACCTATATATCATTATTTATTATTTTCTTAGAAATTATTAGACTATCCTCAATAGATTATTATTAAGATGTAGCTAAATTCAAGATTTCACTGAATTCACTTGTCTTATTTTCAAATATACTTTAAATTCTAAATTTGTAATTGGTTTTTGCTTATAATCCAGTAATTGTAAATTATGGTTCAATACCTATATAAATTTATTTAAATTATTCAACTCCTTTAATTTTCATGCCAATTCCCATTTCTAAATTATAGTCAACCTTCTATCTAGAATGAGTCCATTATAATTAAATTGAATTAGATTAACACAATGATTTAATAAATTTTCTCTTTTCAAAAGTTTCACAAATCTCAACAATTTTTTCTTAAGATTCCAATTTTTTACAACTGGCACTCCTTCTCACATTTGATTAAGTAAGAATTTTATGTGGACTTAGAGTACTTTAGTCAAGGTTTTTTTAAATATCAATATTTAAAATCAAGTCTATAATTTATTCTTTGGCGGTTAAATTAAATGTTTCTTTTTAATAAATTAGACACTTTGGGATTTCAAAAGATTATTCTGAATTAATTTTGACAGCTGCTTCAATTAAATTTAATCTCTATTTAAGCTGTTTCATTTATTAATTACGATAATTTGATATACCATCAAGAAACTATTTTTTTTCCTATCTAATACTACTTAGATCTAATCAAAATATTATAAAATCGATGTCATTTATTCTTAACAGTATTATTCAAGTTCTGTAATTATAGACATTTATTTGATTATTTATTAGTGTAGATCTTAATTGATTTCAATTTTGATATGAGTTGAAAATTTGCCTATTTTATGAACTGATTAAAAACATTCTTAACAGAATTGAAACATACACTATTCACATTTAATTTAAGCTTAAGTTTAATCACATCTTGAACAAAGTGCATTTAAATGTATTTTTGGCACATTTATTTTTTTTGAATTTGTACAACATATACATAATTCACAAATAAGTTATTGACAACATATACAGAATGATTATTCTCCTTGATGGTCACAGAACATTATGTAGAATTTTGAACTTTTTTAAATTAATTTCTAAGTTAAATATATGAAATAACTGCATTTTTATTTATAAACAATTATATAAAGTATAAAGTCAGACAACTATCAAAAATATTAATCTAAAAAAGAATTGTACTACAATTATTACAATTGAATACCTATTGCAATGCAGAATCAGTTAATTAATCATATATATCCATTTTATTTAATAATCTTAATTCTATTATTTCTTTATCATCTTAAGTAGTTGATTATATAAAATTATCTTCCAAATCTATATCATCAACATTTTTCAATAATTACAATTATTAATTATCCACATTAGATTTTAAGATAGATTTCTTTAATTCTTCTATTCCTATACTTTCAAGCACTATTAATTATATTCTTAGATATACTTGATTAAGCTGAGATATTTTAACATATTGGACAATATTTGTTTTCCAAAAAAAATGGATGCATTGTATGACCGCATTTTAAAAGAATTGCATGTATGATTGTTACACTAAGATCTCTTAAGTTTACACCAATTAGTTTAATGCATCAAAGATTTAAGATACTGTTGGCTATACAAATATTATTCTTAATGATTATCAGCTTGTATAACAGCTATCTTAGTAACTTTCATTAGGATCTAGAACAATAATATTACTCTATCGAAATGATAATATAATTTCTAGATTTTATTTACCAACCTAAAGATATTGATCAATTGCTTATTTAATAGTTTTGAAATAGCTTATCAATTAATAAATGATGTTTTTGAATATTCAATCCATACATTTTTACTTACTAATAGCACTTAAGAGAATCGAATTTAAGTTTATGAGGAAGATTTGAAAGCCATAATTTTAAAAGCTAGCAAACAGAATTAAAAAAATATTATTAAATGATGTGATCAAGAAAAATATCCATAAAAAGAGTAATAGTGGTTCGATTTAATAATGAGTACAAAATATTTGAGAATGATTGATTATTAAAAATCATATTTAATATAATTTTATATAGAGTAATACAACTTTTTCTATTATTCACAAAATATTATTTATTAATGATAATAAAAATAATATCAATTTCTTTTTGTAATAAATGCTTAAATTTTTATTAAATAAGGCCATTCTCTACTTCATTTATAATATTCTAATTTCCATTTTTTTTCCTAGTTTGCAGAAAAATATTTTGAAATCAGTAATTACATTAATTTCTATTAATATTTTGAAAAATAAGCGATATAAATAACTAACTTCTAAATAGATAATAAAAAAGCAAATAAAAGAACAAATGTACTTGGTTCATTGTTAGATTTATAATTATAGTGTATCTATGTTTGAATCAATTTTTTTCAACCAAATCATTTGATAAATTATTCTAGTCAAAGAACAATTAAGAGCAAGATTAATTTATATGATTTTAATATATTTTTTGATTTTAAGTTTAAATTAGAATTTTATT